ATTTGGGTCCTGACCCATAGGTTGGGAAATCCTGGTCCACGGGGAGGTTGCAGGGGAGGAGGAGCAGATGGGTGCACGGAGCCGGCATGTGTAGAGATCCAGCACAAAAGTTGGCTCTCCTTGTGTAATGGCTCCTGCTTTCTGCCCCTCACTTGGTACTGAGTGGAAGGTGGGGATGGGGGAGAATGCCTGTAGTTGACAGGATTAACTGATAAGGCCAGGCTTATCAGTTAATCATGTAGTCGTCTACATGTTGACATCCTAGTCCAAGTGTGTACATTTTTAATATATAAGGCAACACCTCTTTTTTCCCTGCCTGTCCTTTCTGAGCAAGCTGTATGCTTCTATACCAATATTCCAATTGTGTATTATCCCACTAAGTCTCTGTGATACCAACTATGTCGTAGTTGTGTTTATTTACTAGCATTTCAAGTTATTCCTGCTTATTTCCCATATTTCTTTCATGTTTGTAGATGCATCTAAGATACTGATTTGATTTTGCCCCCTAGTTCTGCCTTGTCCCTCTTTTATCTCTTCTGTTATAACCCATGCTCCCTTCCATTTCTGACTCATCTCCCAGGTCTCCATGTTTTTCACTTAGGCTATGTCTAGATTATAGTTTTTTCTAAAAAAGTAGCCTTTTTTCAGAAAAACGTCACCTGCGTCTAGACTGCCGTTGCTTTCTTTCTAAATTAAATCGAAAGAATGTGGTGGTTTTTTTGACAGCAGTAAACCTCATTTTATGAGGAAACCCCCTTTTTTCGAAAGAGCTCTTTTGAAAAAAGGTATTCTTGAACACAAACAGGGCTTTTTCTAAAGGGAACGTCCAGATTGCCTGGGTGTACTCTTTCGAAAAAGGTGAATCGCTTTTTCGAAAGTATCGCTCTTTTGAAAGAGGCTTGTAGTCTAGATGTACCCTTATTTGTGCCTCCAGAAATAACATACTTGTTAACAACAAATATGTTTTTAAAGAAAAAAATAATATAGAGAGATAAGAAATAACAGACTTCAACCTTATTATCCCTTTGCAAATTTGTGTACCCAAAGTCAATGCCTTACCTCTCTCTAAATGTGCAAAGTTTCAAAAAGTTTAATGAATAGAAGATTGTTGGAGGTAGAATAGATCTGGGCAAGGAGAAGAAGTCTGGAGATAAATATGAGAAGGAGGGACAGGCAGTAGAAACAAAAGTGAAACTGTTTGAGCATGATATTTTAGATGTCTTGAGGTCTTTCTGAGTTTAGCCTTCATTGATTTGAGGTCTGTCATACCATTCTCTCATTAGAAGGGAAAACCTATAATGGCATCAGGTAGTAAGAGAGACCCATGAGGCGATATAATAGAAATGTAAGCGACTAGTCAACTATCCTCTTCCCCTCTTGCTACCTCTATCAGAGAGAGGCAACAAAGGGGGGGGGGAGGAACTTGTGCTGCCGGGAGCCAGCTTAAAAGCCGTTTTCCCCCTGCTCTATCTCTGCGGCAGGGAGGAGACCACGGGGGCATAGTGGGGACCTGGCGGCACCTCCGCCTTTGAAATGTAGCAAGAGTTAGCATGTATCGTCTATTCGATTAGTTGATTAATCTAAATTTAACATCTCTTATGATAGAAGGGTAACCCAACAGACATTACTACAGCCTCTCTCCGAGTTACGAACAAGTTACGGACCAACACTTGGTCCGTAACTCGAACTGTTCTTAACTCGGACCCCACTGAGTTACATGCGACCACGCAGTTCGTAAGCGCGGGTCGCGTTCGTAACTCGGGGACCGCCTTTACGACCGCTCCATGGGAGCTTTGGTCGTAAGTGCGAACGGTCGTAACTGGACCGTTGGCAACTCGGGAAGCGGCTGTACTTTGAAAAGCTTTGGGCACGTATGTAACTCGCAGTTGAATTCCATAGGGAATACATATCTTGAACAATCTCTAGTCATAGGTAAATAACTTCCTCTGATGTGTTGGGTTAGGGCAGTAAAAGATGGTCAGTCATAATGCTAGCCACATTGCTCCCTTTTGTCTCTTAGGTAAGGATAAGGTTCTGTCACCGGTATTTTTAGTAAAAGTTATAGGCAATAAACAAAAACTCACTGAGGCCCATAAACTATCCCAGACTTTTACTAATAATACCCTAGCGGAGACTAACGATGTTAAAATGCGATAATCTGGCTAATCGTATGGTCAGTACAATTTGTATTCATTATATAATTAGTCGATAAGCGCTGCTGTGCAGAGCCACAGCAGAGGTAGCTCCAGGAACCGGCTGCAGAGCCACCTGCACTGCTGCTCTTACTACATTTAAAATGCAGAGGCAAGCCGGGTCTACTCAGTCAGGCCTTGCGCTGAACCCAGCTGCTGCTGTTTGCAGTGGGCAGGGCAAGAGGCAGCAAAGCGGGAGGGGAGGGAACTGGATGGACAGGAGCTGATGCTGGAAGGAGCCGGCTTGAAAGCCGGTGCCCTCCGCCCCCTCCCAGCACTGTCTCTGGGGTGCCGCTTGGAGAAGACACAGGAGAGATCAGAGATTTGAAAGAAATTGACCTGTCCCTAAAGGAGGTAATTTAATCAAGTATTTTTCTTGCCTTATCAATGTTAGCATTTATACGTAATTCATATGCGATAATAACCTTGTCTTTAATGTACAGCACACACACACAAAAATTTTAATCCTCACTTGAATTAGATCTAGTTTTTCTACCCAGCCAAGCAAATCAATTTTAAGGAGCAAGAGAGAACAACAAATAATTAATCTATGACAGCAGTGAGTAACCTATAGCCCATCAGAGTTCTGTGTGGCCTATGAGAATTTTTTTTTAACATTGCCCACATGGAGGGTTGCCAGGTTCTCTCCATGTAGTTTTTTTCCTATGGATATTACTAAGATGACACGCACATAAACAAGAGCACGTGAAGTGAGGTGTGTGCCGATTGTACACAACATTGACCATAAGAGCTGTGCACACAGAGCGCTGCTACTGTTCAGTTGGCACTCCCTGAAAATTCTAGGTAGGTAAGCACAGTTAGCAAAACTACCTTACCCCAGGAGACCTTCTCGGTTATGACCATCTTGCAGTCCACTGAGATGAAGGACCACTCATGGCTCTACTCACATGCCAAGGTCTATGACATCTTTCACCATTTAAACCAATGTTCTATCCACATTTGAAAATTAGCTCAGTCTCAGCCACAAACAAAAATCAGGCCATTTAGTTAGGTCCCTAACTTTAGACCAGAATTTTCTAAACTAGATGCATAAGATCCAGTGATGCTTTTCCTTCAAATCCAATAGTGGATATATTTACCAAACTAAGTGCCCTGAACAAAATCCCAAACAATTATTTATAGCCTGCCTACCCACATTCCTATAAAATCTTTACTGCTTATGCTATTCTTCACTTCTCAGATTGTGTTGCTATGAACTTTTAAACAGCTAATGTGTACTACTGAGGGCACTATCTCTTTGTGTAGATACAATTTCCACTCTAAAGGATTGTTGTATAGCATGAATGTTTGTCTGGTGCATTATTTATTATTACTTACAAAAACACACCACAATTGTTTCTGGGCACATACATCTTTCAAACCCATCAAGAATTGGATAATGTTAAACAAAAATTTGTGTGTGTGTGTGTGTGTGTGTGTGTGTGTGTGTGTGTGTGAAATCACCTTCCCTTATGCTCTCAGCCAAAGCCTAAGACAGACTTTTTTCCACTGTGCTTTTGAGTTCAATATATTCTGACTCTACTTGTTCAATACAAAGGAGCAAATTCCAGAATCCAGAACTTTGCTCTGGAAATACTGAGAATTTCAAATGCAACATTCTGTACAAGCCCATAAATTGACCAAAACTGTTGTAAAGTTATACAGGTAGTAGAACAGTCTCATATAAAGCTCAAAGACCATAAGCAAAAAAAAAAGCAGTCTAGATGGGGGTTTTCCACAACTTCCCCCCCTCTTTTTTTGAAAGAACCCTATAAATCTATTTTTTTGAAGAATAAGGGTTCTTTCAAAAAAGGGGGAGTTTTGTGTGAAAAACCCCATCTAGATTGCTTTTTTTGGGGGGAGGGGGGCTCTTCTGAAAAAGGGATTGGAAGAAGATATTCAAATTCACACCGAATTTGCATATTTTCTTTTGGAAGCCTAGGGTAATCTATACGTGCCCTAAATTTAGATCTGGTCCACCCAGAGCACATAATCTTATGCAACCAAAGATAAATAATAGTGGCAATTGTATAGCTAAGTACTTTGACAGCAACATAACCTACTTTGAGAGTTAAGGGCTAAAGGCTCATCAAGCTGACCCAGTTAAGGCACATCAGTTTCATACTCAAAGGTCATACAATTATGTCACAGACGTCACAGATTCTGTGACTTTCTGGGAGCTCCATGATTTCTTCTGGGGCCAGAGCAGTGGCCCCCAAGCCCACTAATCAGAACAACATCCCCCAGGCCAGCCAAGATCAGCAATGAGGTTAGTGCAGCTGCAAGCCCCATCTGCACTCTGTCTCCACTAGGGATGTTAGCGACTAGTCGACTATCCGATAAGGAAATGCTTATCGCATAGTCGAGTAGCCATTCGACTACAGGGGGTACCCGCTACAAGTCACCCCCGTATACATCTGTTCCACACTAAAGTTGATGTTTGCAGGAACTGATGTGTTATAAGTCCTCCCATTCCCTGCTGTAAGTCGTGCAAATGCAATTTGCTTTCATTGAAGTCAGCCGTGGGGAAAAAAATTCCCTGCTTTAAGTTGTTTCGCTAAAAGTCCAAGTTTTTTTTGAACGTATTTTGGATTTATAGCGAGGACTCCTGTAATTGCTTCCCCCCAGCCTCCCCCGTAGTTGCCTTTATCAGAGTAGTTATTCCCTGATCCATAACTTGTATGGACTCATTTGCCAAATTATCGCATCAGTTTACCTATCTTTTAAACTGTTAATTAAAACTTTCTTATGCAAAATTCACGATAACTAACCTAAACTAATATTTTTGCATATCTTGCTAAAACTTACTTTTATATGTGTATTATTGTCCTCCTCACTGGCTCATTGAATTCTTAGATTATTCTTCTTACCGTTGTCCTCTGGTGGTTTTGGTTTTTTACTTCTAAGCTTCTCTTTTTGGAAATGGGGGGAGGGTTCAACTTAATACACTGTAAAGCTACCAACTTCTTTTTTACCTGCTATCTTCAAAGGTGAAGGATTTTGTATTTACAAACTGTCTCAGCAAAATCTGTAATGTTGTATCAACAGAAGCACATACAAAAAGCAAACATTCCTTTGTATTTTCTTATAATTAGCTCCATGCCTGTCATGGAGATTGCAGAGAACACGGATTCTTTGATTTCCATGATCTTTGTGACTTATGCAGAGGCCAGTTTGATTGACGACAGGGCTGCCCCTGATCCCAGGTCCTCCCAATTAGTTGGCTTTAGGGCCAGCTGCTCCTGCCACACCAGCTGCTGCTCTGTTGGCCC